ATTCTATAAAGCAGACGATGTCGTCAGCGTACTCCAAATCGCACAGTATTTCTCCAGTTGTCCATTGAATACCTTCATTGCGCAGACGGCTTAGGGCGTTCTTCAGCATTTCGTCTATGACGAAATTCAACAGGAATGGCGAGAGAGGACACTCTTGGGGAACACCGCTGCTGGTTACGAACGACTAAGTCAGCACTCCGTAGGCAGTTAGGTTACCAGAACTATGTAAGAAGACTGAACTCAATATGTTTACGTACTGCTGCGGCATCCGTTTGCGAAGAAGCGAACATATAAGTGATTCGCGGTCAAATGAGTCGAAGGCTCCTTTTAGGTCTAGGAACACGACAACCGTTAGCCGACAGTGCGTATGGCGTAGTTCGAGGACTTGACGCAGAGTGAATATTTGATCGACACGCCCCGGCCAGGTCGAAATCATGCTTGTTGTTCGCCGATATTTGTCCCTCTAAACGATGTCAGACGTCGAAATATGATGGAGGCTAGTAACCTGGTGACAATTGGGATCAAGCTTATTCCACGGTGGTTTGCGCAGTCGTTACGAGATCCCTTCTTAGGAATGGGAATGATTCGCTCCAGGATGATGGAATGTGCCCATGTGACGAGATAATACGAATTATATCAGTAACGGCGTCTACGAGGTCATTGCTTCCCAACATGAAAAGAGTGAGGAGAAGCCCGTCCGGCTCTGCTGTTTTTCCTTTTTTCAGGGTTTGGATGCATGATTGAACTTCTGCTGCAGTAGGAGGTTCACATGACACTTCTCATGGTGCGGGAACTACAACAGATGATATAGTCTGGTTAGCACCTGACCAGCTGAACTGTTCGTTGAAGTACTCCGCCCACCGATCAAGCCGTTATTCTTTATAATAAATTGCTTGCTCACTTTTGTCGCAGATTGTTTCACTATTTGTGGTTCTCTGACCTCCAGTGTTGTGTATCAGTTGGAACGGTCTTTGACTATGCCTTGATGCAGCTTCCATTTCACTAACTAATGTTGCCCACCAGTCCTTACGATCTTTCTTGAAGCTCCTCGTGAGCTGACGTTGTAGAACCCACCTACATAGCTCTGCCTTAATCCCGGGCGGTGGGGATTTGCCACTTTTTTTCCATCAACGCTACTGACTTATCAGATATCCAATGCCTCGGGCGGGCTGCCACTTCAGACTCACAAGCAACTCTCGCAGCGGAGTGCATTGCTCGTCTAATCGGATCCCATTGTTCATCTACACTATCACCCCGTAATGTTTTTAGCTCTTGCCCTAGTTCTGATTCAAAACGGGCACGAAGGGCTGGGTCAGATAAACGATGATCTGCCAACCGTGTTTGGTGGGCTTTTTGTGGCCAGTGAGTTGGAGAGTGAACTGCATCAACACTAATGCATGATCAGATTCAACGCAGGTGGTCCAATAGGACCTGCAGTTTTGGACTGATCCACGCCAACGGTAGCTTACTGCTATGTGATCGATTTGAGGTAGCGTACCAGTTGAATTGGAGCGCCACGTTGCTGTCCGTTGAGAGCTGTGTCGGAAGTTGGTGCTGGATAGGAACAGATGATGATCTGCGAAGAACTGAAGAAGTCGATCGCCATTATCTGTTCGCTGGCAGGGCAGAGCACAATGGCCTAGGCAAGCTTCCGATGGGCTTAGCTTTCCAACTTGAGCGCTAAAATTACCTGCTAGAACAACTATGTTGGAGATTCGGCTCAACCGAGTGAGTTTGGTGAGTTTATCACGAAACTCGTCTTTTTTGTGTCAGAACTGCAGTTGGTCGGAGCATACGCTGAAATGATGAACAAACACCTTTTGGTGTTGCTTTCCTTCCAGACACTCGTAGACCTTTGGAGCCTCATCGCACATAAGCGGCTGTTGACGGGGATCTAATCGAGTATTGCGGCTTTGGCTGTATTAATCAGTACAATGCACGCACCACGCTGGCTTTCTGATCGGGCTTCGTCATCACCTGACGTGCGGAGGAAGAACCTCAAAGACAACCCTGGTGCATTTAAGTGGCATATAGCACTAGGATCCTGGATTCGAGTCTCCGACACGCAACAGACATCAATCCCCAAAGAGTCCATTGCACGCGCCAGACACGCTTGTTGACCTATCTGCATCAAAGTCTTCACGTTGAAGGCCCCCAGATTCAGTGATTGACGAGGCTTCAGAAACTGCTATCTATTTTGTGGTAAACTACTTACCGGGCTACTTTGCGACGAACTTCGGCGAGTGACGAACGATTTGTCTGAGGGAATGTTACGGGTTGGAAAAAAAGGTAAAAAGAGAAGGTTGGGATAGAAAATAAAGAGGTAAAGGTTGGGATATCTGAGCAGTGGCCCACTTATTACTACCCACCCCGCTCGATGCAATAGGCAGCGCGATCCTGATTATCCTGCGCGACGACCGGTGCAGTAAGGAATTATTTTTTGGTTGTGTATGCATTTGAGTTTGATGGACGGGTACTGCCAGGGTGTTCAGCCACTAAGCAGGAGAACGATTAGGGTTCTCGTCCAAAGCTTTTAGTTCTAACAAGAACCTGACCATAAGGCAGCGGGTGAAGTGAAATGGAGGCCCGTTTACTTGGATCAATTACTCCTCTACCGTTTTACCGACTGAGAAGCTAACTCGAGTCGAACCCCCAACCTGGAGGACCAGGAGACTGAACTTGGTCTGACCTCTACCCATCAAACTTCCAGGCATGATTAGATCTGCGGCTTGGTAAAAGCAATTCTGCGTAGCTCGTTGGGTCATAGAGATGCACAAACCATCAAACCACGTCAAGGTGCATTCTCGTCGTGATGGCTTCTCGACTGCAGGAAGATTACCATGGACTGTTAACATCAGAGAACAAAACCGGTGTGAAACGTCAGATGAATAGTTTCTATGAGATTTCCGTCGTCCATTGACCAGTTCAAACGCGAGGACGACCGTGACACTTACGCCGTACAGTAAACCCATACTTCCTAAATTACCGAGATTGAGCATGGGTGATTCATACCTTTGACATATTTCAGTCGCGAATGTTACCATAGAAGATAGAGACTTTAAACGCACAATTATGCGCTTGACCTAATGTTAGGTATTTCACGAACTGATAAACTATTACTATTACTACTATTACTTACCATTTTCATTAGTACAACTCCAAATCTCGAACAATCCAATAATATCCAATCGAGTATTGTCGTGCAAAATTGGACCATTACACCTATGGAAACAATCACCGCTTTATCCTCACACTTGTAAGTCAGTAGACGAGTGGCACAGTGCAGAAAAACATACAAAAACGTACCTGAAAGAACCGTTATTTTTTAAATTAAACCAATATAGAAATGCTCATCCTTCCGTTTTATTATTTGACTACACGATTATATCGATCATTTTTATGAACGAAATGCCTATGAAAGTTCATAACATGGGAAAGTGGAATGGCAGGGGCCAGATTTGAAACAAATGTTTTGATGACTTGAAATACTTGAAAACGGTTGTGCATAATGATAGTGGCAACTGTGTCTCGGTGAAAAACAAACAAAATCGTATCTAACATATCCTATGAGCACATTGAGATGGTCTCACAAAAAGGATGCGATTTTCCAGTATGTCAAATTTAAAATTAAATGAGTAACAGATCCTTGAACAGTTAATCTTTTCATTTGCATATCTCTCCACGTTATGATAGGTTGTATAAAGAATGAAACCATATTTTAATCGGGATGGGCAATTTGATAAAGGAATCTGGTATAAAAGAGCACACTATTGGATGTGGTAATTAAAGCGAGGAGTTGGTGGGAGTGATCCACATGATGATGGCATGGTCCAAACTTCGGTTCTTGAAAGCCGACTTGAACTCGTGACAGCCTCTAAAACCGTTTGGGGAAGAACCTCTGAACTAAACCATGAAAGATCTCACTATGGGGAGGCGGAAAAAAGTAACATGAGAATCGATATAAGATTTGGAAATACTTTTCGGAACAAGGTCAGAAACTAGTATTTCTGAATTATTTAAAAGCATGATTGAAAAAATGAGGAATTCGTAGGGTAGGTGAGAAGTACACTACACAAACTGCACAGATAGCATTTCGAGTTTCTTTGTAAAACGGAATCGGAGAGGTATTTTCAATTGGTTCTGAATACTGGGGATGAATGGGGAAACAGCTATAGTAAAGCTATTTTAGCAGATAATCCCGGTAATGTTAGGAGACGAATGTTTACTTTGAATAAATAGAGCGAATTCAGTTCAAAATTGAAACGGGCAAAACACTTCAAAGTTTTGATAAACTACTAAACAATTATTGAAGGAGAATAGCTTCCAGAGCGACAGAGTTTAACTTTATTCTTGTGCTAGACCAGATGAAGTTAGGAAAAGAACATGGAACGGGAAAGACGCAGAACTCCGAATGTAGCCTGATGTAAGTTACTAAAAGCGCCTGGTTCGCGCAAAAACCCTCTTTGATCACTAGTGTTTACAGCAAGTGATAGAAGTGGCAACGAGAATTCAGCGAGAAAATCCAAGTATTGGGATGATGGCTATGCAAACTGGAGTTCGGAAATATCTTGTTTTGAATGACGCATTTTAGCAGCCGTAAAGTGGACACGTGAAAATCCTCTAAAAACACAATTCATCGATTTTACCGTCTCCCATCTGTCCCAATAAAATTCCGGTTTGACTTGACTTCAACCATGGAAATAAAAATATTCTTCCCTAACTGCATCACGTTTAAATGCCACCAATGCAATTTACGAGTGTATACACAACTCGAATGGGTCCCATTCTGTTGGAACAACAGAAAACACAATAGTTATCAACCATAGGGTGTGCTACCCCCTTTAAAATCAAACAAATCAGCGTACCTAGCATGGGCGCATATCCACTGATCGACAATCGCGAGTCCACCGGGTCCAAGCAGCAACCAATCTGATCTGGACGGAGTAAACCGTACCACATTGTACGGAGCGAGTTCTTCCTCCAGTATTTTTATCTCTGAAGCGGATCGAGAAAACACGATGCGACTAGCACACAGAATCTGACGATGAAGGTTATTGAAAAAGCAGTACGTGAGAAACCAAGAGATGGGGGAACGATGAAAATGGTAAAGTTTACGTGTCGTTATCTCAGCTGTGTAGAGTACGAGGTAAGTTGTACTTTATGGTTTTCTATTCTGTTTGATCGGGAAGAAATAGAAAACTATATCGAGCTCGATTAGCACATTCGCATTTTTGTTAACCTCCGGTTCCATCACCATCAACAGGAGGAACAGTTTGATTAATAGTTTCATTAGTTGCTGATTGAAGACCGCACAGTCCGTTCGAACAGAATCAACCAGATGCACGATATACGTCAAGTGGAGGAATCTATGGGAAAAAGGTAATTTCTTCTGGTTGTAGGTTAGGGCTCTCATTTCTCATTACTAACGGAGAAACAAACATGGTGAGTGCGGAGACACTTAAATAGACAGAACATAACGGTAATTTCGTATTCGGGTTTTAGAGCGCATTCCGAACTGGGTTCAACGTAAGGTTGCCATGTCAAAGCCCACATAGCCGGTAATTGGTAAGAATTGTGTTTAAAAACCACCAAGCTCATCGATTGCCAAGCACTTGTTTATGACTCAACACCTCGTGGATCGCGAGAAAGTATTTCGAGTGACTTTTACCAATCATAACAACAGAATGCTCACGATCGCCGAGGCGACTGCAATCAACCGACGGAAACCAATTCTGATTTGGCATTGGTGACGCTTCCCCCACTTACAAGTGCTTATTTTGTAATCCATTCCCAAACTCTACATAAACATTGCTTTTGTCTACAGTAGGTACCGTTTGAGATGCATCGAAATCGTCCAGGACATAAATCGTGCAATGTGACTATCCTGGCTTCTCTTTTCAAATCTCAGTGACTTAGAAAGCGGTGAACGTATTGTGTAAAGAGCGATATAAAATACTTCACGGGTTTGGTTCGTTATTATATTCGATATTTTACAAGTGAAAAAAAGAACAATGATTTGTCATAATACCACACGATATTTCGCGACTCACCATAGTCTGTAGCGTCAGTGGCCAAGAAAACTGTATTCAGTCCGTGACGACGAAGGGCTTCAGAAATTTGTTTCGCAGCCAAAAATGGCGAAGCCGTATTAGTATACGTATTGTACTGTGTGTCGCTCACATAGTCTCCACAGCGCCAGTGCACCCCGAGGAAAGGACCACCAAGAGCCGGGGCCGAAGGCCATGGGGTACGCATCCATGCCGTCCCGTTGGGCCATGACGGGAACTGTGCAGGCATTTGTGTACGATCGGAGATATCGTTTGAATTAAGATGCTCTTGACGAAACTGATCACCTTTTTCGCGCAAATAAGAAGCGAACACCATGCTACGTCTAACCTGAATAGCAGGAAACAATGTTTATATACAAATGTCAAGGTGAACGGTAATGAAAACCAAAAGTGGACACGGGGCTTTTATTCTGTTAGTTAAATGCAACATTTATGGTTAAAATGGCTTGAAAAACAGACGGATGATGAATGAGAGATGTGATTTATGTACACACCTATTACGAACAAGTACCGTACCAAGGCGATAACAATATTGATGCAAAAAGGATGGGATCATGTATAAATGTAAACGCTGAGTAAGAAAGAATTACAGAGAACAAAACAAGAACCACAACAATGTTTTTGTTGTTTTTGTTTGTTTCACCGTACGCTTTTCACCGTTTTCTTTGGATGTTTGTGGATCTCTTTTGAGAAACAGAATTTTAACAGACAAACTATTTACATTCGCATCAAAGACTTCCATTTTGAGTCGTATCTCCCAGCTCTCTCCCTCTATCTAATTAGAGATTGTCTTTTTCTATTTCCTTCTTATGGAATATACAGGTAAACTCGTGCAACATCCTGATTTTCATTACATTTGTTCCTCTCAATGCTTCGTTTTTCCAGCCTCATTCACGGAATTGAATATGATATTGGCCCACATCAGATGCAACATATCTGATATAATATTTACTTGTGTCACTACTTCTATTAGCCACATGCCATTAAATTGTACAATTTCGCGATTTCAACGATTTTTGCAAATGCATCAATTGTAAGATAACAAGGTCACAGTAGAAAACCTAACTATAATTTATTTATTAAAATGACTCATAGACTTTATACAGGTATTGCACTTTCATCTCGTCCATGTTCCATTTGCTCCTCTTCAATTTTGACCACTGGAGGCAGTCTCGTTAGGATGAAATCCACCAAGTTAACTGCCAAACAGGATTTGAAAGTTTCATCTAATACACCGCACACCTTTACCTTTGAGTATTGGAGATAATGCGTGAGTAGTTTGTAGCCTAATAATTTAGCAATTTATTAAAGTTAGAATATTTTCAATAATTTGCTTTTTACTATGCACTGAATGAAAAGAGAATAGAAATTTATAATGCGTGTGCTCAAACTAATAGAAACTTTCATAGGACACGAATGATCTATTAAAAGGAATGAACACCCATGCTACTTTGCCCAAAATATTTTCTAAATCAGAGCTGTAACTTTCGAACTACTGCAAATTTTATAGCGACAATCAAGCTCGCGCACATTCAAATGGTGATAGAAATGAACTAAGAACGTAGATGTTGGAGATAAAGTTAGGAATAAATGCACTGTACCCATAACCATCTATATATAAGTATGCTATTGCAAGCTGAAATGGGTTTTCAAAATGAGGGTGATGTTGCACGAGTTTGGTCAACACCTGCACAATAATATATCTTTTAGAAACGGGATGACAACTGAACAGGAGGCTGTCATACAGCAAACCGAAAATGAAGCGAGTCAAACGACGGTGGTGGGGTTCCAACACAAATCCCTCGGGGGAGATAACTGGATGAGTTTAATCGCTTGACCACAAGCATTCTTTGAGCCCCGAGCTGAAACACGGTTTACAACAATGAAAGCCAATGCTGACAATAACTTCTCAATGGCCTTACGTCAGGTTATAGCTTGACCACCGCGACCCTTCTTCCAACCTCGCTCAGATGTGCGAAGGGAGCTCAGAGATGTAGGTAGATGAAAGACATGCATAGGCAAAACATGACGAGCCCATTGGAGGCAGCGCTGAGTTATTTTTTCTTTTAGAAACTGGCTACCAACACCTAACATACAGCTATAAATCTCGTCATCGTTCATCCGAATTTTCCTTCAAAGAGAAGGCATGATTCGAAGATGTCGGTAGTCAAATACAGAAAGCTGATTACCATCCTCAGCGCAAAGATACCAGGTCTCACAACCCCAAAGCGAGCATCGGTGATGTACAACATTCCCTTAGGGGAAAATTTGGATATTGTGACCGCGCCACAGGTGTTACAAGTTAGCGAAAACTGTTCTAGCTTTTTCCATTCATGATGCAGTCTCTTCAGGAACACGCTCCCGGCTGCAATTAATCTCCCGAGTTACTTTAAGTTCTGAACTACTTATAGCTGATCACCATAAACTGCGACTACAGACCCAGGTTCTTGAAAGTTAAGTACAAGCGCTTTCCACTTGGAGGATGTAACGCACCGACCATTATTAGATAC